GACCTCCCCGCCGGCGACGTATTCGAGTTCCGCGCTAAATTTATAGCCGGCGAGGGTACCTACTTTTTCAAAAACGAGTCCCGGGGAGGAGCGACGTCGCTTAAACGAGAGTAGGTACCGATGGGGTATCGAGTAGGTACCGCTATATACAGGCATAAATACGTGCGTCTCGAGGTTCGATTTTTTGCGCAAAGCTCGGGTATTATACGTCCGTGGGCGGCGGAGCCGGTCGTCCGCTCGCCGACGCTGTCGGATCGCCCGCTCAAACGCCCTTTGACGGCCGTCCAAACGGCGTTCGCCTTTCGCGGGGACGGCGACGCGGCTTAAGAGTCATAGAATTGACTAGGATTTTCATCTGAGTAGGTGGCTAGGTTGGTTAGGCGTTAGGATAGGTGACTCGAGGGTCGTGGGTTCGAACCCGGCCGCCGGGATTTTCGATAATTTGCGGCGCCCGTGATATTTCGGATTTCTTTTTTTTGCGTTTTTTTTTTTTGGTCACATTAATCATTTTTAACCAGTGTTCCGATTTTTTTCAAAATTCGCGTTATTATATTATATATATCGGTATTTATATATATTATTATTCGTTTGACTATATTTATTTTGCAAAAAAATAATAATTAACATTTAATTAATACTTGATTTTACCGTGACCAACCTACAATATAATTATAATGTAGTACCTACTTGATATATTAAATACTGCTACAGATTATAAATACTGTTTAATACAATATTAATAAACTATATTAAAAAATAGTACTACTATATGACTGCTCCATTTGCCGTTTTTTTCGAAAATTCGAGTTTCAGCCCCTTTCGGTCGTATCACCCTCCCCGTCGACGACTTATTCGAGTTCCCCGCTAAATTTATAGCCGGCGCGCGGCCCTACTTTTTCAAAAACGAGGAGCGGCGTCGCTTAAACGGGAGCGGGTACCGTGTATTGTATTGTATATATTATGCGTCGCGTCGTTTTTTGCGGAGCCGTCGCTGCGTTATCTTTTATTCTTATCACTTTTCACGGTTTTGACCATTTTTCACAAATTTTTTTCAACATTTTTGAGGTTTACCCCCCTCGGGTGCCTCGGTAGGGCCCGTTTGGACCTTATTCGCGTTCCCCGCTAAATTTATAGACGGTGCGCGGCCCTACTTTTTCACAGACGAGTCCCGGGAAAGAGTGGCGTCGCGGAAAAGGGAGTAGGTACCGTGTAAGTATCGCTATATACAGCAATAAATACATGCCTCGCGTCGTTTTTTGCTGTTTTTTTCTAAAATTCGTTTCTTGGACCGTTTTAGTGATATTACCCTGCCTGTTTGGATATTATTGGCATTCCCCGCTAAATTTATAAGCCACCGTCGTCAGTACTTCGCTCGAGTCGTGTTCCGCGGAGGAGATCGGGGAGCGGACAGTGTTGTTATTACTTTATACGGAAATGAAAATATGCGACAAAAAGTTTGATTTTTTCATACACACTTTCATACACATAATATAATACATAAGTCATAACACAGTGATGCACCATTATAATTAAGCAATTATAATTACTAAATAATTTAAAACATCATAAATATCAAATTACATTTAATAAATTGGTAGGTAGGTACATCATATATTATATACAGTCATACAATATAACAGCAAAATATTATGATAGTAGGTACTTACGAAGATAAGTGCCAAAAAATTGTATAGTGTATTCATTTATAGATACCTACGTTTAATAGGATAGTATTACATTTCAATAAAATTTGTTATTCACCAATATAATTATCTATTTGTTAATTTGACTTAATTCTCATAATTAAATAAATATACAAGGTAGGTATATTTTAGAAAATATCCAATCAGAAAATTAGATTTTGTCGACTTATTTGTTATAACCGCGAAAACATTACAATGATTACATTGATTACAGTGAAGCCTAACATAAAACACCTGATAACTGTTCTCTATAATTATCAACAAATACAATTTTATTACCTCCTGTATACTTTTTCATATTTGAACGGCCGTTTCGAGCACTTTTCGCTGTAGGCGGATTGTCCGTTCGGGAATCGGATTTCACCCGAGATGACTGATAACTAGACACTCAAACTCAGAATCCGAATTTCCGATTTCAACACACACACACCAGAACCGGACATACACGCCCGGTGCATGGTCTGCGATCCGACGTAGTCGGATTGCCTACCTGACTAGCTACTTGCATACGAGCGACTTACACCCCCACTGCATCCGATCCGCCACAGGTGGATTGTCCGTTCGGGAATCGACTTTCATCCGAGATGACTGATAGCTAGACATTCAAACTCAGAATTCGAATTTCCGATTTCAACACACATACGAGAACCGGACACACACGCCTGGTGCATGGTCTGCGATCCGACGTAGTCGGATTGCCTACCTGACTAGCTACTTCCATACGAGCGACTTACACCCCCACTGCATCTGACACTCGGGAATCGACTTTCACCCGAGATGACTGATAGTTAGATACTCAAACTCAGAATCCGAATTTCCGATTTCAACACACATACGAGAACCGGACATACACGCCCGGTGCATGGTCTGCGATCCGACGTAGTCGGATTGCCTACCTGACTAGCTACTTGCATACGAGCGACTTACACCCCCAGTGTCCCCCACTGCATCCGACACTCGGGAATCGACTTTTACCCGAGATGACTGATAGCTAGACACTCAAACCCAGAATCCGAATTTCCGATTTCAACACACACACACACCAGAACCGGACATACCCGCCCGGTGTAAGGTCTGCGATCCGAAGTAGTCGGATTGCCTACCTGGCTGGCTGTGTCGTACGATCGACTTGAATCGCGTGACTTACGACTAGACACTCTTCCGAGTTCAAAAATTACCGCTTAACCAGTGCTGCCAATACGACAAAACACAATAACCAACGACCCTCCATTCCCGCCGCAGCTAGGCTGGATCAAAAAACCCAGCATCGCCGACAAAGATGCACCACCGCCCACACAGTCTTTCCGCCGTAGGCGGGATGACAAACACCGGAATCTAGTCTTATATAATAAAACGCTAATAACGCGTATAAGATCCGCGGGGAGCGCTGACGGCACTACGCGTTTCTTCCATGACGACCAATCACAATACTTCCCGCGCGTTCGCTATAAATTCCGCTCGCTTATCTCCCTTTTCCTTATCGACGAATATTTCCGAACATTATTATTATTATTATTCCGTATTTCTATATTATTATATATAATATATATAAAATAATATAATTTGTGATATATAACGCACAATTCAGTTTTTGAAATCTTCTAAAATGTTATGTTCGCTTTAATAAATTGTAAAATATGTTATTATTTGAATTTTATTTTTATTATATATATCGTAGGTACATACTATGCAAATTAAGTCGATTCCGGTCGTTGTGGTGGAAGCCGCAATTAATCAGCATTTCAATATAATATATTAAAAATATATAAGTAGTTTGAATAGATAGACATTTTTCATGAGTATTGCAGTACATTTAACTATTGTACCTAAGAGTTTTAGTAGGACCTTGGTATGTCGTTACATATATAATATTGTAAGTACACATGATAAGACTACAATAAATCCAACACATTTAAATTTCTTAAAATATATACATGTTATTTTATGTAATATTATTATTATTATATTATATATACTAATATATTGTTATTATTCGGAAACGTCGACGGTGTTGATGGAGTTTCTTTGCACAGGTCACAATAAATTTATTAACAACTCATAAAAGACTCATACTACAACTACTCATCATGTAATGTTTAAATTAGGTTTCCAGCGAATGCCGGCCGGAGACGTCAGTGGGTGCTGATTGTCGAGAACTGTGGTATAAATGCACAACAGATTTTGGCCAACTCAAAAGTGTGCTCGAGGCATTTCGTACTAGGTCGTGATTATGAAGGAGAAACACAACATCGTCGTCGTCTCTTCTCAAGAGCGGTGCCATCTTTAGTGAGTGTATCATGACTATTTTCATTAGGTATTCCAATGACACTGTTCAATACTACACCAAACCATACACAAACATAACTTAGATTGTAGCAATTGCATTAAGTTAATAATTATTATTACATAATGTCATACGGTGTCATTTATTTATTAACATATAATGTCATGCTTATATAGACACAATTCATTAAATTACTTTACATTGAAATACCAATTGTTCAATTCATATTATTACTATTCAAATGTAATAAAGTATTTTTTCTAATAATTTTAATTGAACTAATTACAATAATACTTTTGTTCTTTTTACACTTCCATTTCTATAACACCTCTATGTGTATCTTAAATGTATTGTTTTCGTTATTATCAGAGGGGATACATTCTCTAGGCTACAATTCATTTTATTTATGTACAATAATTACTTACATTATTACAGCTATAATCATTCAACAATTGCTGCTATTGACCTTTATTCGGTCTGCAGTGCAATTCACTATAACGTGTAGTTTAAATGTTACTAACTAATCGATTACAATATGCTCTCCACACTGTTTTTTATTTATTCAAAATGTACTGTACTTATTACATTCCCTATCGGTGAGCTGATTTTTATATGCTTATATTAAGTCGCATGTCATTGGTATGTGTGTAGTAATAAAACATTATTATAATATCACATAATATGACACATAATATGTTGAATGCTTATAATCTTATAACATTTGAGATGCTACTATTCAACTTTATTCATTCTTCGGTGTGATTCACTATTACATGGACCATAAATTTTACTAACTAATTGATTTTACCATCCTCTCTATGCACTGGTTTTAATTTATTTAATTATAAATGTGTTGTACTTATTACATTCTCTATTGGTGAGCTGATTTTTATATGCTTATTAATTCCCATGTCATTGATATGCAGTTAAATATCATCTTAACACATACGTTGAATATTTAAGCCGATAATATTTGAGATTGTTTTTATACACACAATTACAACGGACTTTGTATGATACTGTTGGTAGTTCAACCACTCCTTGACATTGCGGCACCAGGTGGACAACTGGAAGCGGAAGTGGCAATCCCCGGTAACAACGGCATGGAGATAGAAGTTGTCGAAGTCCAAGTGGAAGATGTAATGATGGACCTAGCTGAAGAAGAAATGCTACGAGAGGAAGTGGTACAAGATGACATCGAGTATGTAGATTTACTTCCTGCTGACGCAGAGGCAGAATTTGAATTCAGGGACGCAATTGACGTTTTATTACCAGACGTCAATGAAGAGGTTAGTAAATACATCTTATTAAAATTAAAATAAACATTTATAACATTAAATTCTTAATAACAGTGCATTTTAATTGCAGATCATACCGATTCCTCCTGTTGTACCGAGAGCACGTGCGCCCATCAGAGACCGTCCGGCTGGCATTCAACACGAACTTCCAGATCGGCATGACCTAGGACCGTTGAATGTTGTCTGCCGGCACTGTGGTGCCCGCCATTTCTCCTGCGAGCGTACTTCAACGGGTCATTTTTTTACGTGTTGCAATAACGGTCAAATGGCTGTTACTAGAGACCGTGTTTTGGGTCCACCGCCAGAGTTATTAATTCGTTTGTTGGTTGATGATTCACAGGTAGGAAAACACTTTCGAAAAGAAATCCGCAGGTGCAACAACACTCTGGCATTTGTGGCTTTCTCCACTGATCTGAGCCCAAGACGTTTGCCTGGTCAGGGACCAAGAGTATTCTCCGTTCACGGGCAAGTATATCGTAGGATTAGTAATGATGTTGTCAGAAATGAACTAATGCAACCAAGGTATTGTGAGTTGTATTTTATTGAATCCGGGGCAGCAAATCAGATTCGCATGGCACAACAGCCACGTGAACGACTACTATTGGAGAACTTGCTTGCAGACTTGGACAGACTGTTACGGCGAATCAATCCATTTGCGGTGGCTTTTGAGTAATATATATTACTTTAAATTATTAACATATACATAATTGAATAAAAATATTACTTCAAGTTGTAGTGTGTTGAACACACATTACATTTGTATAGATATTGCACTTTTATGAATTACTACTATATGATACAACGAATGACTTTGGTTACCATTGCATTGAATACACATTCGTATAGACAGTAGTGCAACATTTTTGTTTAAAAAATTATAGTTTACATTATAATTACTACGTACTCATTAAAAAACCTATTTTAGGTTTAAACGATACAATTAAACTCCAACAGCTCCTTACAATTTCATATTAACTATACTATATTATATATATATATGTCACATGTATATAACAATATACATATATATATATTGATTTTACTTTTTCTGTGTACATTTCCATTACAGTGTGTATTGTACCCAAGCGACATTTTTACTTAATACTTCTATGCAAAATTGTATTTCATAGTTTCCAGTATGTGTGCTTAGTAATATGTTACATTTCCGAATTACATAAAATATACTGTGTGCTGTAATATTTATTTATCATGTTGCACTTGCCTATGGATAACATTTATTCTTTATCCATCTACTGTACACAAATGTGGATATATCATGTGGCTTTAATAATAACACAATATTATTTTCTTACAGAAACATGCGACAAGTATGGCAAAGGGAACAAGACGCTGCTGCGGCCAATCCAATGTTGCAACCGAAAAGGGTGACCATGCACATCGTCGCCGACCCGAACAATGACCCACGGCGATACAATCAACCAGCTACTCATGTGAACGAGGTAGCAGTTGTCTTTGTTGGAGAAGATGGTCTACCACCAGGAAACCTCGATCTGGTCATCTATGACTCGAACCCAGTTGACCCAAATCACCGGATGCAAAGCATATCAGCTGGCTCACCTCATGCAGATCCAATGCTGTATCCATTGCTCTTCCCACATGGAGAAACCGGCTGGCATTACAACCTGCAACAAGAGGGCGTCCGCCGGAACGCAGTGCGTGTTCGGAACTCTATCAGAGAGTTTGCTTGAAGCAAATTGCTTCTTATCGCCTGGTCATCAGATACACCGGAACCAATAACAATGGGAATGAAGGCCATACGTTCAGTTTATTACACGCAGCTGGTTTTTTGTTACAGCAGTACACATGTGATCACTACGTTCGCATGGAAGCGAACAATCTACGTTACATCCGAGACCACCAAAGAGCACTCTTTGCTGACGCCTATCAAGGCCTTCTGGACCATATTAACCAACAGCTCCACCTAGACGAAATCAATCCGGTCGGCCGCAGGACAATTCTGCCTTCGACATTCCTAGGCGGCCCTCGGTACATGAAACAATGTTACCACGACGCAATGTCCATTGTGCGTAAGTACGGAAAGCCTGATTTATTCATAACATTTACGTGTAACCCTAGGTGGCCAGAGATAGTAGATAACATTCCGCGTTGGTTGACGGCAACCGACAGGCCTGATTTGGTGGCGAGGGTGTTTCACGCAAAACTGAAGGAGCTAATGCGTGACATCACGGTCAATAAGGTGTTTGGTAATGTAGATGCTTATGTTTACACCATTGAGTTTCAGAAACGTGGTCTTCCACACGCACATATACTCATAATCTTGGATGAGGACAGCAAGTTACTTACTGCCGACGACGTCGACAATGTTGTGTGTGCCTACTTGCCTGACCCTGCATCCGAAAGGCGCCTACTCGACAGTGTGAAATCGCACATGATTCATGGTCCGTGTGGACCACTCAATCGCAACAGTCCGTGTATGGTGGACAACGGTTGTACGAAGAAATATCCCAAAGAATACAGCGAGGAGACTGTATACATTTCTGATGGTGGTTACCCGACTTATCGTAGACCGAACAATGGACTTGTGGTCAACGTCAGAGGTCATCCTGTCGGCAATGAGTTTGTTGTCCCACACAACCCATACTTGCTGGTCAAGTATGATGCACACATAAACGTTGAGGTGTGCTCTACCGTGAAGAGCGTAATGTATTTGTATAAATACGTCTACAAGGGCCATGACGCAGCTACCTTGGAAATTTGGAATGGAGATGAAATTGAAAAGTAATTGAATTAAACTTATAGTTTTAATTGTTGACTTCTAAATTACATTCCATCTATCATTATTGTGTTGGATTATTATTATGATGATAAAAATGGTATTAACATTGTCCAACAGTCAACCGAAATCATTTTAAAGCTGCATCAATCTCAGTAATGTTACCTTAAGTGTTATTCTGTATAATATGTGATAGATGTTGTTGGTAAATTTTATTTTCATTAATATTCATATTATACAATATAATAATATTACATTTCATTTTGTGACTTATGAACCAATAATGCTGCTCAATTTAAAATGATTCAATTTTAATAACTATTATTTGTTTTAATATTTTCCTTGGACACATAGTTGATTAATAATAATAATAACAACAACATTTTGTTAACTACAATAACATAGCATACCACTTTAATACAATAATAATTAACTACACTCTACACTTATTAGATATATTTGTATGCAACGTCAACCTAACATTATTTATTGTAATCGAAAGCAAATATTCAGTGTGAGGTAATCTCATTCCTATGTTTTTAGATGTATGCATATATATATATATATATATTATTTTATTCCTGATTATTTATGATATACGTTGATGTTGATTTCAGTTACATAAACTCACGGTACGTCAGTCCACCAGAAGCTGTTTGGAGGTTATTTTCGTATGAAATGCATAACAAGAGTCATACGATCAATAGACTACCTGTCCACCTGGAAGACTATCACAACGTGTACTTTGGACCTGGAGAGGTACTAGAGCGGGTGCAGAACGCGGCTCTGGCTCGAACCAAACTCACGGCATTCTTCGACCTCAACGCGACAGACGAAGACGCTAGACAGTACCTCTACCAAGAGATACCGGTACATTACACTTGGAACGCGTCTAGAAGAACGTGGATACGACGTCAAAGACAGATGACGTACGAGACGTTAGCTCGAATGTACGTTGTCAACCCACTTGATCGCGATCGTTTCTACCTACTATTACTACTCCTACACAAGAGGGGCCCACAGTGTTTCCGGGACATGAGGAAAGTAGACGGGGTAGAGCATCCAACATACGCGGCTGCAGCCGTCGCGATGGGACTTGTGGAAGACGACAGAGCTATGTTGGAGTGCATAGCCGAATAAGCAACATTGGACACTCCAGTCCAGCTTCGTTACCTCTTTGTGACGATGCTTTTGCACTGCGAGATCACAAACCCGCTGGCGTTGTATCAAACCTCACATGTTGCAGGATTTCAATCACCGATTGAGGGACATTGACCGAGCGAGGGCTGCGTGTTTGGACGCAATCAACGGGATGCTTCGTGGTCACGGAAAATCGCTTGCGGACTACAGTTTGCCACTACCGGACGTCACATTGCTGGAAGAAAACCCGGACGATGACATGTTTGGTGCTATAGACGCGGCGGTGCGCTGGGCCGTACAATTGGACAAATTGAACGACGAACAACGGACAGTGTTCAATCGTGCTATGGCAGCGGTAGACGACAACAGAAACGTATCAAAACTTTTCTACATTGACGGTCCCGGAGGAACAGGTAAAACAACACTATACGGGTGCCTCATATGGTCACTTCGCAACCAAGGGCGATCCGTTTTGTCCGTGGCTTTTACAGGAATAGCAGCGTCGCTCATGGACGGCGGCATGACAGTGCACTCGACGTTTGGATTGCCGTTCGGTACACTGAACGACGATTCGACGTCGACCATCACCTTGCAGTCGTTGCGTGCTCATAGGATACGTGATGCAGCACTCATCGTCTGGGACGAAGCGCCCATGTCTCCGGGACTACAACTCACAGTGGTCAATAGGTTGCTCCAGGACATCATGGATTCAGAATTGCCGTTCGGCGGTAAGCCGGTATTGTTCGCCGGCGACTTCAGGCAGATTCTACCTGTCGTGCGCAGGGGAACAAGGAGTGACATCGTCAGGTCGTCTATCAAATACAACTCTTTGTGGCGCAACCTGGAACAGTTCAATTTGACGCGGAACATGCGCGCCGATAACGACGCTGACTTTGGAACATGGTTGCTTCAGCTCGGGAGCGGCCAATTGCCAGCGGTCGACGGTGTTCAGGACACTGTTGAAATACCCCGGGAAATGGTATGTGAGGTCGCTAATTTGATTGATTTTGTTTTTCCGAAGCGAATGTCGTTGGCTAACGTCAATGAGTTTGCTCGGAAAATAATTTTATGTCCCAGGAACGACGAATGCAGGCAGGTCAATAATACTGTGTACAACGCATTGACGGAG